GGGAGAGGAATGAGTTCATGTGCGCACTCCGCTCTGGATTAGACAGAGATGAAGTGACACGGAGGTGGCCCAGTGAACACGGAGGGGAAACTGTTGTTTGTTTGCCTGCCCTCCTGGAGGTTGTGGCGTTTTAACACGGATTAGTTCCTTTTTAGGCTTTATCACCCACTTAAAGTCATTTCTGGACTGCTAAGTCAACTTCCAACGCTTCCATTTTTGGGTCATTTGCTCAAGGATGTTCGGATGTGAACCTTCTTTGTTGTTGTCGTGATTCGATTTGGGACCAACAGGTGGCACTGTAGGGCTCCCCCTGCAGCTGCACACCTGTTGGTCGTTAGGTAATTAGTTGTATAAAAGGACTCCCGTGCCCGGTCATTGTTTGTGTTTGCGTCTGTCGGGTTTGTTTACGTCATGTTTCTGTTCTTGAGAGTTTTTAGCTTCTGCCGTGGTTTTTGTTTGTTACTTTGGATTCTTTTTTATGTCAAGACTTTGTTTAGGATTTAGTTTTCTCTGTGTTTTAATACAATTCTTCAAGTTCACCGTGCTCCTCCCTCCTGCCTGCTTTTTGGGGTCCTCCACCACCTCGCAAACGTGACAGTTGTGATTTATTAGTCACGCTGGAGGGGGGGGGGCACTTTAATGGCCACCCTAACATTTTTTTATCATAATTTTTTAATGTTGTTTTGCCTTTGACTGTCACAGTCTCAAAATTGTCATTGAATAACTTGAACGGTAATGAAATTATGAATTGCGTTAGCTGCATGACGGCCCATGATAATCTTCGCCGAACAATGAGCCTTAAAGGGGAAGGCGAGTCAAACATTTTCTTTATAATAAGTTCTACATACAATTAATTCATATAATTATAGTTTTTGAAGTTTCCTGGACTAGTTGTGTTAACAGTACTTATTTTAAGAAATATTGCCAAATTAAATGTTCCTTTTTGGGCAGATCATGTTTCTCGAATGAAGTCATTTATTTTTAATGTCATTGCAGTGAATGATGGAGGACATTTCAAAGGCGCGGTTTTGATATATTATCTTTTAAGTGTGTCAGGAAATGTTTTTTTCCAAAGTCGTTTGTGCGTAACAACGGCGCACTTTGAATCCCGTTATGTAACGGGTCGCAGCTCATTAACTCCTTTGCGCGTCGGCCCCGTCGGAAGAGGAAGTGTACACATGCCGCGTTGCGGTCGGGTGCGTGGATTCCGAGAGTGACACTAAGAGGAGAAGCTTTTGAGAATAAAATAACAATAATAACACGTGCTACTATTCTAATGGGTAAACGGAGCTGTTAAAGGGTGATGGGGTTAAATGGATGCAGCGCAACAGTAATTGCTACCATCCTGCCACGACTCCACCCTGAGCAGACCCTCTCAAAGGCCAACATGGATTCAAAGAGTTGGGCGCCTCTGCTGTGGTCAGAGGGGAGGAAGACACACGCCCTCCCCTAATTCACCGCCGCGTGTCGTATTTGACCGGCCCGCCTGTGCGTTTCCTCGCGCTCGCTTTCTTTCTGTCGCAGTTTGCTCACAGAGTTTCACATTCATGGCCAATGAAGTTGAGGCTTTACCACCAGGTCTTCGTGAGCAGGGTGATTTGATTGTCGACTGGTGAAATCTTTAGTCACAACTGGAATCCAACTGTTCAGTCTTCCACGCGAATGTATTTTCAACTGGTAGGGATGGAAGAGGGTCTTGCCCAGCTTGCTTGTGAAATTCAGCTTTGACAAACAGATGCCCGCATATGGCGCCGTCGCATCGCTTTGGATTTGAGATCAGCACAGATTTTAAGTAGAGGATAAGGATTAGGCGGTGAAGCTCCGCTCGTCATGACGATTATGAACAGAACACCTCATATTTGAACAGAGTATGTTTATGTATGGGTTCAACAGCGTATGTGTCACAGTAGGTAGAAGAAAGTGTATATCATCATCGTGAGAAAAGATGAGGCACTTCATGGAGTGAAGGAGAAAGACCATGTAAAAAAGCCAGCGACGCGCTACTCGAGCGAGTTCTTAAATCATCATTTAAATCATCAATTTTTTTTTAAGCTGTAAACCTTGGCGATGTTTGTGCATTTGTTGGCCGAGTGGTTCGTTAGCAAAATGATGCAAAAAAGCTAGCCATCAATTGAACTGTTCCAAGCACAAAATAAATATTGAAAAAAACCTTGCATGTAACCTGATAATACAATAAGCTGTCCACTGGAGTAACCGCTGCCCCTGAAAGGGTTAACTGCCCGAGCAATCATTTTAACATTCTGGACATCAGACTTAGGTTGTACAAAGATGGATTGTGTCCTCATGATCTCAAAGCCCTCACCTCCGTGCCCCCCCCCCCTTCACGTAGCCAAAACATACAAGTTGAGGACAAAAACACAAACGCGTCTGGGTTGCAGACACGTGCGCAAAAGCACACGTATACACTTTTGACACAACAGAGAAGCAGGAAAAGGCTTGGCTCACCGTGCCTTCATTGTCTTCCCTCTGGCTTAACATTAGATACGTTTCTAACCTTTGTCCCGCTCGTCGCTCATACTGGTCCACGCGAAGTCACTTCGCAGTCTCTGAAAAATGTATTATTATTATTTTGATTGATCTTGAAATCACAATCGATAAGCACGATTATTTATTTGTTTGACAACTTCAACTCCCAAAACGCAACTTGAAACCTAACTCGAAGGAACAACTGGAAAATAAATAACAAAGTCAAATAGTAATGTATTTAAATAATAGGAATACAAAACAATAGATAAAAATGAAACTTGCACGCGCGCACATCGTCAACTCCCAAAACGCAACTTGAAACCTAACTCGAAAGAACAACCGGAAAATAAATAACAAAGTCAAATAGTATTATATTTAAGTAATAGGAATACAAAACAATAGATAAAAATGAAAATTGCACGACGCACATCATTTTTCTTCGATTACTGTATCACATTGGGGAACAATTTGGAAAATTCGTTTTGAGTTCGATTTTGAGGTTGATTAGACCTAAAATCGGGGCGATGTTTCAGAAATTGCAGTCAGTTTTGTTTTGTTTTTTGGAGCGTCCTTTTTTTTACTCCACATCTTTTAATCTAGATCGGAAAAATTTCACTGATTAGCTGGCGCAGATACAATAAAATTGCCTGAGTAAGACTGTAGTAAGAAGAGCTGATTACGATTGGACTCATCTGGAACTACGTGACAACCCGTTTGTGCAGTCACAATTGAGACAATGCGGTGAGAGGTGCGTGCAGCTCCCATTAATAAAAAATTAATCCGTGCTATCAATATCTGCCAACACAAAGCTAGCATAGTGGGAATTTAGAGTGTTCGCGCTGTCTTTTCACTTAACCTCATAATAGTGAACATAACGTCGTAAACTTCTGTTTTGTATTAGAAGATAGAGAAAAACGGAGTGTCCCAAGTGTGACGTTTTTACGATCGTGAGAAGTCAAATTGGAAAATCGTGATTATATTTTGATTAATCGCCCAGTCATTCTATGCTTACGTGTGAAGGGTTGATCGATCGCGGTGACCAGAGAGAAGGAGACATTTCGCCATTTGGCCTTCTGCGTGCACACTTTGCAAGTTTACCTTGATGTGTGGGCCCTATTTGATTTCTGAGACAATGGAGGGGGGCCGTAAACAAGTTGGCTCTGACTTCTTTGTACAGGCCGCTCGCAGTAAACGCTCAACTCGGAGTGGAGGAGTCGCAGTGTGGAATTCGCTAATGGCACATGCATTTCGGGGCCCCAGACAACAGGGTGAGGTGAGGGGTACGGGGTGGGGTGGGGGGTCGTTTCAGCCACCAGTGTGTGCGCAAACACACACAGCCCCGTCTGCAGCCCCCGACTCCCACTCAGTCACTCCTGGTCCTGCACTGCAACGAAAAGCCTGTTGCCAGCAGGCGCAGTTGTGTCTGCGCACGTCTGGCTCGCCGCTAATCTTTTCCGCAAACTTCATTAACGCGGCGCAGTGCGTCACTCGGACGTGCCTTTAGTTCCTCCACCTTCAAGGCGTCTGTTAATGCGGTGGGCGGGCATTACGCCCCCCCCCCACCCCCCAACCCCGCACCCAAAAACTCACAGGCTGAAAGGAATGGGGCCACAGGCCTTGGGCTTTAAACCCTCTGTGCCAATAGACGCTGTGAAGCAAAATAATGGCATCACTCTGTGTGTGAGTTAATGGGAGCTGATAGCATGAAGGCCGGGGGGGGTCAGCAGGTCACGGGCTTGTGCTAAGTTGTCAGGGAGCTGAATGCCGTCCCTGGGCCCACAGCAGGGGGAAGAGTTGTGCGCTGGGGGAGGGGACCCCCTGCCTCAGCCCTATCACCCCCGCCCCCTCCCCTCCCTCCTCTGTTACTACTGTGGAATGTGAGCAGGAAGACGGGACCTTATTCTCCAGGAGTAAAAAGGTGCAGAAAAAAAACCCTCTTATTCACCATGGACATATTTCATCAGGCATGAAAACGGGCAGCACGCGTGTGCGCAGAACGGACATCCACCGAGAGAGCACTAAGTCACCTCTGGGCCGTTGCTGAAAAGTGTTCACAGACAGCAGCCATGAAAAGTGGATTAGCAACCGGATTTACTGGTCATTGGTAAATGCCAAATTCATTCCTCTGTGACAAGGACACGTTTTGGGCTTTATTTCACCAGTGGAAAGAGTGAGTGTGTGAGTCGCCCGGGTTTCAGTCGTGATGGGGACCTCTTGAGACGGCGGCGGGCACTGCAGGTCTTCCCTCGGATTGACCTCGATACACCCTCGGGATATGTATATATAGTCAGTCGTGTGTGCGTGTGTGTGTGCGTTGGGTGGATGCGCAAGCGGCGGTATTTATACAAGGCTTCGATTTCAATACAGTGCCTTCGTCGGTATTTATAGCGTAGCCATCTGCTTCCAACAATAAAAAGCAGATCCCTCCAAACGTAAGCCTTCCTTTTTACTCGCCGTGTTTGCTCATGTTGATGTTTTGACTCCAGCGCGTCTCCCTGCGTGTGTCTTCGCAGATGCCAGCATGTCACCCGATGCCCCCAAGCAGAGACACTGGTGCAACGTGGCGTACTGGGAGCACCGCACGCGCGTGGGCCGCCTCTACACAGTGTACGAGCACTCCGTCAGCATCTTCTACGATCTACCTCAGGGCACGGGCTTCTGCCTGGGCCAGCTCAACCTGGAGCACCGCAGCAGCACGGTGCAGCGCACGCGCGGTAAAATCGGCTACGGCATCCTCCTCAGCAAAGAGCCGGACGGCGTGTGGGCGTACAACCGCAGCGAGCACCCCATCTTCGTCAATTCGCCCACGCTGGACGCGCCCAACGGCAGGAGCTTGGTGGTGCGGAAGGTGATGCCGGGCTTCTCCATCAAGGTGTTCGACTACGAGCGCTCGTGCCTGCTGCGCTACACGGCCGAGGCCGAGCTCCTGGACGGACCCTACGACCCCAACAGCGTGCGCATCAGCTTCGCCAAGGGCTGGGGGCCCTGCTACTCCAGACAGTTCATCACCTCCTGCCCCTGCTGGCTGGAGATCCTCCTGAACAACCACAGATAACACGGAACGGACCCCACACACTATCCCAAATATCATCTACCTAGATTTAATATAAAGTTTTATATATTATATGAAATACATATATATATATATATATATATATATATATTATACTTGTAAATACGGAGTCCTTTTTACAATGTCATTATTTATGTATGGTGCAATGTGTAAGAGGAAAAAAAAAATGGAATATGCACTTTGGCTCATCTATATGTATGAACCCATACATACATATACTGTGTGTGTTTATATATATATATATATATATATATATATATATAAAGAGAAAGAAAATTTCAATACCAACTTGAGAAATTATACAGCAAAATTAGGACAGAGCCTGGATTTGGTGTATAGATTTTATATACTCTTAATATCCAGACGAAAAGCTAACCATTCACACATTGATAATAAAGTATTCGCATAATACGTCGCCTTGTTTTCGTCTGTTCCGTCCGTGCCTTTGCTTTGCCTCGACAATTTCTAAAAGAGGAGCGGCAGCGTGGGCGCCGAGTGGTTAGCACGTCTGCCGTACCATTCTCGGGTTCAAGGTTTGAATCTCAGCGTGGACCTTTCAATTTGTTTCTGCGCTGCTTTTGCGGATTTTTGGGTCCTCCGTCTTCATACCGTATTCCAAAAACATGACGGGGTCATTGAAGTCTCAAATTTTTAGATTCATTTGAGTGTGAATGTTTGTCAATACAGTCAAACCTCGGGTTTCGAACGTCTCTGTTCTCGACCAAATCAGTTTTTGACCAGAAATTTCGAGTTTTTTATGTCTCGGATTACGACCGAAAATCGGTTCTCGACCAAACTGAGCGCACTTGAATGTGCCACTTGACTCCTCTCGCCTTCCTTACACGAGGAAGTGACGCTTCCTCATGTAGCGTTCCAATTGTGAGCAGACGTGTTCAATCAATATTTTTTTTTTTTAAAGTGCGTGCTTTCGGTTTTCGAACAAACCGGTTTTCGAACAGCCTTCTGGAACGGATTGTGGTCGAAAACCGAGGTATGACTGTATGTGTTTGGTTTTGACTGACAGTTATTCGTTTTGCAAAATGTTTTTTTTTAATTTAAATTTTTTTAATTAAATAGATGATGACCTTCACTCCATAAACTATTGGCCATATGTGTCACCCAACCATTGTTTCAATTAATTAGCCTTGCCTACTTGTCCTTGAGGTCCTAAGAAGCCAAAGACGATGGTGCAGTGCAAGGAGAAAATGACCGTCCTCCCGTAGGTGTCAAGCTCAAACATGAGCATGATCCATCCACGTTCGCCGGGATCTCACAATGCACGTTGAAAGAGTCCGGGGGACCCAGCAACTTGAGAACGGCCTCTGTGATGGTGGAATGTGCACGTTTTTTTTTTCTTTCTTTTTTACAAGCCTCCTGGAATCTTCCACACTGCTGCCAGGGTGGATGTGGTTTTGCTGGCTTCCTTCATAATTGCTGGTGTTGGGTTAGATTGGTGGTGTGCTGGTGGTGAGTGTGCGTCGGTGTTTGCCAGCATTCAGCAAAGGAGCCATTCAGCTCCCCTCATTCTGCTTTCATGGGCAGCTTTTAATAGACCCGGCATCAACGTCCGCTAAAGAGAGCATTTGAAAAAAAAAAAAGTTATTACAATGAGGAGCGCTTTTAAACTCGATAATACGATTTTCCGATTGAATGTGCTGCTGAGCGAGGCGCCTCGCTCCTTCCCTTTACATAAAGCGGCCCAGACAGCCTCCTCCAGGCCCGCTGCCTGTCTGGAGCCAACGTTGTGGAGAGGAGTGGCTCCGCTCTGCCTCTGCTCTCTTCCCCAACAACTGGGGGCCATTATCCTGCTCCTTTGTGTCTCTGTTATGGGAAAAAAGGGTCCAGATCACCACTGGAGAGGAACTAGCAGACAATTATATACAATATACGGGGGTGGGCGAAGAACTAAGGCTCCTAGTGGCCGCATTATACAAGCCACCACAGAGGAGAGAAGGGGCTTTAATTAGATGGTGGGGGGGGGGGGGTCACAGTTCATATACAGTATAATGCGCACATCTTTTTTGTGGATTGCACTGAAAGTAAAAGTCCTTTTAAGCTGTTTTGTTGATACTACAGACTCGCATGCCTCAATCATTTCTTTCAGAAGTCACCCCAGAAAATCGTTCCACCATATCGCAGAATGTGCGCTGTACCCTCCCCAAAAATGCCGAATTTTGCTGTATCTGTGTCGCAACCATGTGTGTGAACACACTATTGCTTTTTAAAGCTCAGAATTTCCAAAGCCTGTTATTAGGGTTTGTGTGCTGCCAAAGCCTCATTGCATTCCTCAGACTGTAGCCTTTTCCCGACGCCGGGAACCCTGCAACAAAGCAATGAGAGCTGTTCCCTTATTCCTCTTAAGTCACTCAATGAATCTGAAGAATCAACAAACACGCTGAGTCAAAAAAAAATAAAAAATCTGTTTACATTTGGTACAATAGATAAGCAAAGGGAGTTTCGTGAATAAAAGTGGGGTCATGAACCAAAAAGGGTGGATGGAGCTCGACACCATGCAACCTGCTGATTGTCCAATCCAGAATTGTCCTGGTTTATTTGTTTGGCAAAAGTGAGTCATATTTTTCACATCGCTGGTTACATTCACATTTGTCTGACAAATTGGGAGAGCTTGACAACTTCTGGCGATCTCGGCCATGACAAATGGGGAGTCTTTAACCAGTGGGAGGAACGAGTCAAATAAGCAAAGACGCTTTTCAGAAAGCGATGAGTATTTCTAGTATATTTTATTATAATATAGTTGTGTCTTCTATCAAATGTTAAGATGATAGATATTTGTCATAAACGCAGTAAAAACGCAACGGTAACACTGAGCAAAGACATTCCTACTTTGCGAGCCCTCCTCCAGTTATACAAAAAAATCCAAAAGACAAAAAAAAAAATCCATAATAATCAAAGATAAACACTGAAGGGAAAGAGGGGCAGGCAGCGTACATCGTTAAAAATTATGATTTATTTTTTAATAAAAAGGACAGTATCCGAGTTAGGCACGAGAATATGATTTATTTTTTAATAAAAAGGACAGTATCCGATGAAGATGCAGGCATTTGACCATTTGCAGCGGTATTTCACCTGTCAAGTAAACAGAATGACAAAAGAAAAATTGTCCATTGTGATTGACAAATTGTGATGTCGTTGATTCAGATGAGATGTGGGTAGAAGCTGTTCTTAGTCTCGATCTGGCTGTGACGCTAATGTTCTGTGGCACGGCTATCATATACACTGTGCTGGGGTGCCCAACCAGTCGATCACGATCTGGTCCCAAGTCGATCGTGGGGGGTTCTGGGGAAAATAGATTTTTAAAAATGTGATGTGTGTGTGTTTTTAACATTAAATATTTTTTGTGTTCGTGCACACGGCACCCTAAGCATACTCTCGTTTTCACTTTCACACAAAAAAAAAGTAAAAAAACAAAAAAAAATAAAATAAAATGATATAACAAAGCAGGTCACCTTTAACCTACAGTGGCGGGTGACTGCGTCACCGGAAGTTGTTAGCAGTCAGCAGTCTACTCGCAGTTTGCGATTAGAGATGTTGCTATATATCTTTTTTATTTTTATTATTCTCATTCAAAGGTTGTTTCATGTACAATTCACCGATGGCACAGGCAAAGAATGGGAATCTGAACTACCAAGAGAAAACATTTTAAACCATGCATATGAGCTACGATAGTGACGTTGTTCCACTGAAGACGCTGCAAAAGTGCCGCCGCGTCAGATCTCGACGAAGGTAGGCACGGATTCCTTTTTACAAACTCACAAGGTCTTGTATCTACTATATTTTTCCGTTCCGTTCTTGTTCTCAGCCGTTTTGGCTGTTGCTCATCGTGCCATGCGCGTGTGAATGCGTGCACGTGCGGTAGCGGGTCGATTGCTTGAAAAGTCGATCTTAGGTCAAAAAAGGTTGGGCACGCCTGATATATGGTATATTGTGCAGCACATATATGTGGCGTGGATTTGTGAAGGCCACTCCACGGATGGGTTGTGCCGTTCTGTTGACAAGCTGCAGAGCCTTTCTGTTCGGTACGGCAGTGGTTCCCACCCCCGGTCCGCGGTTCATTTGGTACCGGGTCGCACAGAAAGAACAAATAATCTATTATTTCGGAATCCGAAAGATGTTTTATTTTGAAAAATTACCTGAATCTCCGTCACATCCGTCAATGTCATTCTTGACGTACGTCAAGGCGCGCTTCTGGGTCACGTGATAGCTTACGCTAAAACGAAATGGAGGAGCTCGTAAAATGAGTAAAAAAACAAACAAATGCGGAAGGTTTCTTTGGGGAAACGGCCCAGCCAAGAGACAGAAGAGGAGCCTTCGACTTCGAAGAAAAAGAAAGGTACATTTCAAAGCGATTCATTTGAAGCCATGTTTAAACATTACTATAGCGACCTGAGAGTGTTGCGGCCAGAGACATGTTCCTCGTGTCATGTTTATTATTATGTTTAGAAAATACCACCGTTTTTATGCAGGTCTTATCATATTATTTGTTGTATTTATCTCTACACCTGAAAGGCCGGTCCGTGAAAATATTGTCTGACATAAAACTGGTCCGTGGGGCAAAAAAGGTTGGGGACCGCTGCTGTACGGGACTGTTCCCGAATCAGACTGTGATGAAGTTAGTCAGGATGCTCTCCACTGTGCATCTCTAGAACTATGGGAGGAATTCCAGATTTTCTCTGTGTTGAGCCTTCAGTGCCTGAAAAATCAAACTACGTACGTTAACAAAGAATTGTTTTGGTTTGTTTAGTTTTTTTTTTCCACCACTGCTATTGAGGTGGAGGACATCCCATGTTGACATTGCATAATGGAAACCGAGCCAGATCTGACTGTACTGTTCAAAACTGTACAGAGCTGCGCCAAAGTGAACTGGCAAGCTCAGAGGAAACATGGCTGTAAATCAATTGTTTAGTTAAGTCAGGCAGATGTGGAGCAGCTTGCTGCCACTCCATTTCATGACCTCGCCGTGCTGCACATCTGGCACCTCCAAAAAAAAAAAACCATACACACAAGTGAGTTAATAGCACATTTGGAGACGAATGGAGATTACACAGAGCGGTCCGGAACAAGTTCCTGTTCTCTTGTCATGAACGCCATCCCACAACATGTCTTCTTCTCACCTCTGCAGTGAAGGGTGTTAATTACGGCTCCTCGCAGCTGCCGTGCTCACCACTTACGGGGCGTGCTGACACATGCCAGC